TGTGAGGGTGTTCACTGCTCGTGAAGAACCTGACCCCTAGTGGCTATAAACTGTGTTGACAGGCCCTCAACAGATTTTTTGGTTATTAAATCTTGGTAATTTGTTATTGAGTTTTGAGCAAGTGCAGGAAGAAGAATTAGTTGTTCCTCTTGGATCTCAGTTTCTACCACAGTAAATGAAATTACTGTCATTAAAACATGGAAGCTGCTCCAAGTTTTTTTTAAGTATATATTATCCTAATGCAGAAAGTGACCTCATCTAAAGCCCTCTTTTCACAGGTAAAGAATATGAGACCAGGGACAGTGTAGAGACTTGCAGAGCACCACAGAGAGCAGACATATATAAAAATAGGTACCTGGTTACTTCTTTAACTATGAGTTTAAAAATTCAACCAAAATATTGTAGTATGCCACATAATCCCCATATCAGTACTTTTATCTTATTTGGGAAACAGTCTTTTTTTTTTTTCCTGTGGTTCTAGGATCTGAACTCAGCGCCTTGCTCTTGCCAGGCAGGTGTTCTACCACTTCAGCCATGGCCCCAGCCATTTTTCCCTCAGTTATTTTTTCAAATAGGGTTTTGCATTTATGCCTGGGACAGCCTGGACCACCATCCTATTTACGCTTCCTGCAGAGCTGGGACAACAGGCATGCACTATAATGCCCAGCTTTTTATTGATTTAGATAGGTTCTCAAGAACTTTTTGCCCAGGCTCTCTGAACCATGGTCCTCCCAATCTCTACATCAAGTAGTTAGGGAGCTCGAGCCACCATGCCCAGCCTTTCTGAATGCCTGGCATATGAATGTGAATAGGGCTCTACAACTTTTCCTTTCATGAGCTGTATCTTGAAAAGCTGCACACCTAGAAAATGGAAGGGTAAAAGAATCCTAGGTTAAAGAGTTCAGGGCCCTGCACACACTGTCCATTACAAAGAAGCTATGGCATAAACACTTCCTCCATGCCCCGTCTGTGCCTCTTATATTCCCCTGCCACTACTACCAGTTAAAATTTCTTCATGCTCTTCCTGGGGCAGACTTGTATGTTGGGAGTGTTCTGCCCTTGGCCCTCTTCTCGCTCCGTGAACTTTATAGGCTTCACTTACTTCAGAGGGCTAATATTTCCCAGTCTAGAAATCCAGCCTAAAGTTCTTTCCTTACTCAAAAAGCCTGCCCAGTATTTACACTTTAATGGTCAAAAGATTGAAATCATCTTTGTCTCCAAACCTGCTCTTCTTACATCCTGTGTTCCTGAATGGCCCATCATCTAAAAACATGGGTGTCATCCTTGAGTTTTTTCTCACTTATAAGCCCAAATACTAAAAATCATTACCTGCTCATTTTCTCCTGGCTACATATAATTCAGGCCACCTTTATTACTAACTAGCTTTCTAGGCTGTCTCACGGTCTTAGTTTTTCCAAGTCCCACAACCCTACCCCACTAATCCCAAATCTATTTCAGAATAATCCTTCTAAAACCCAAATAGATCAATTAAGTAGCTCTGCTCCTTAAAACTCATCTTTTTGGAGAAGATTCAAACTTCTTAACAAGGTTTCTTAGTTTATAAGACCCTGCAGGACCTAACTATACTTACGAGTTTAGTCTCATTGCCTCTACTCTCCATCCCCCTACATTTCTCCTTGCCCCAGCCCATACACCAAGTTTCTTTCCCATCAGTTGATTCCTTCAATATGCCACATTGTATCCAGCAATCAGACATGAATTGCTATCCCTACTACCTAGTTCTTACTTATCCTCTATGCTTTTCCCTTCCCTTTTCCCTTTACTTAGATAATTATGACATGGTCATCATTGTATCTCGGGTGACACGAAACTTAAAAAGATTTCATAGCCAGGCATGTTGGCACATGCCCTCAGTCCCAACTACTTGATGGCTGAGGAAGGCCTCACTGTGTTGCCCAGGAGTTTGAGGCCACACAGTGAATGAGGCCTTGGAGTTTTCTTGTTGTTGTTTGTTTTTTGTTGCTGTTCTGTTTTTTAAGACTTCATTACTTGAAAAGACCTTCAAAACCTAGCCAGATGTTCCCTTGCTCCCTATGCTTGCTTCTGTGGTAGCCATTAAACCCTGGACTGTGGTGTCTATTCACTTGTTTCTCTTTCATACTAAAATGTAAGCCTCTTGAGCTCATGCATGGCACATGATACATGCTCGATAATCACGTCACACCACAAAACCTTCTGACACACCCAATATGCACCTGAAATGAGAAAGGAATTCTCAGGACTGAGGGCTTGGTTTAAATGGTGGAGCACTTCAGAGTACCAGACCCTAAGTTCAGTCCCCAGTACTGCAAAAAAAAAAAAAAAGAAAAGAAAAGAAAAGGGAGGCAGAGAGGGAGAGAGGGAGGGAGAAAGGAAGGGAGGGAGGGAGGGAGGAATTTTCCAAAGAACGGTGCTATGATGATCAGTTTGGAATTTGGCTAGGCCATAGTCCCTAATTATTCAACCAAACACTAATCTAGGTGTTGCTATGAAGGTATTTTGTAGATGAGATCAGCATCCATTATTAGTTGGTGTTAAGAAAAGAACATGCTGGATAACTTGGTTCTTAGCCAACCAACTGAAAGGCCTTATGAACAGAACTGAGGTGCCAGGAGCTCCAGCTTCTGCCTGAAAGTGTCAGTGCCCTCTTAAGGGCCTGCCCTATAGATTTCAACCCTCATAAGTAGGTAAGCAATTCCTGGCAATAAATTTCTCCATTCTGTTCTGTTTCTCTGATTGAACCCTGGCTAAGGAACCTACTCAACAAAAGTAGGCCCTAACCAGTCAAGGTCTCAGTCAAGCTGAGGTTGGCAATGGAAAGGAAGAGGAAAGACGGGAAAATACTAAGAAGATATCAAAGAAAGTATGAAAGAAAACCCAAAGAAAAGTATTTTTTTTTAGTAGCGAAGCACTGACCAAAATAGTCACAGCACTCACATGAACAAATGGAATCACAAAAAGTGCTTCACACCATCTCATTCACAACAGATACTCAATAAATGCTTCCTTTAAAAAAAAAAAAAAGCTTCACTGAGATAAAATTGTTGCTACACAATTTGCCCTTTTAAAACATGCAACTCAACAGTTTTTAGTACATTCATAGAATTGTAAATATAATGTCTATACAAGGCCTTAGAACATTTTCATCACTCCAAAAAAAAAATTTTCAAAACATGAGCAGTCATACCACACCACTGGTAAACACTATCTACTTGCTTTCTCAATGGATTTGCCTATTTAGGACATTTTATACAAGAGGAATCAAACAATAGGTGGTCTTAATAAGTATTTCTTGACTATGAATCTGAACATCATCAGAGAGCTAGTGCTGAAAAGAAAGAGAAACATTTATGATGCATCACTGTGAGATGATGACACCAATTGACTGGAGAAGTAAATGACCAGCTGAAGATGCAACTAAAGGATTATGCTAGGCATTATCTTTCCCAATTCTAAAACTTTAGGTCATGAAGGTAGAGAAGACACTGAAACAATGAGGAAGGATGAAATTCCCAAAGAGAGAGAGAGTATGTATTGCAGAGAGCAGAGAACTGACTGCTCATAAGACCTTTATGGGCTGGATAGAGAAATGGAGGAAGAAAAGTAGTCACAGCAGAACACTATTACAAAGGCCTTTGTGGTATGGAGGCTGCAGTGGTCAGAGAGCAGGAAAGTGAAAAAAATGCTACAGGATTATAGGGACAAGAAGAACACAGGCTAGTCTTCATAGGGTTTTGAGAAAGATAAAAAGCAAATATATGAGTAATATGCATCAAGAGTAAAAAATGGGGCCAGCAGAGTGCCTGCCTAGCAAGTGTGAGGCCCTGAGTTCAAACCCCATTGCTGCAAAAAAGAAAAAAAAAAAGAGTGCAAAATGGAATTAAATATAAGGTACAATTATTTTTATAAGTATTATTTGTATATGTTATCAAGTTACCAGTCAGTCAAAGAAGAAGAAGGAGGGGAGGGGAGGGGAGGGGAGGGGAGGGGAGGGAGGGAGGGAGGAAGGAAGGAAGGAAATGTAAGAACTTTTTCTTTAAAATGAGGCTTTATCATTTTAAAACACAGGTGTTATTTCCAGGATCTCTGCATCATGTTTGAACCCATGTAGAATACCAAATATACTCCAAGACACAACAAAATAAACAAAAACATTTACTATCCCCAACCCCATGCAATGATTCTTTCTTAAGGCTGTAAAATAAACACAGGCATTCTACTGGAAAAAAATGTAGCTAAGATAATCTGGCAGTTACTAAAAACAAAATTCATGTCATACCCATATTTGAATTTGTTACCAGCTCATTTTATACTTTTAATTTACTCTTTAAATTTTAAATATGGATAAAATATGCACCACACATAATAATTTTACTTCTACTTACTAATCAGTCTGCTTCATTTTTTAAGAAGAAATTAGAGTATCTAAGAGATCCACATTTTAAAAATGAGATTGTTCAATTCAAAAAAGAAAGTTTTCAGCTAACAGGATTAAAATACAAGTCGAATACCATTGTCCGAAATGCCTGGGATCAAAAATGTTTTGTGTTTCTGAATACTTGCAAATAACATAATGAGACATCTTGGGGATGGGACCCAGATCTAAACATGAGATTTGTTTATTTTTACATACACTCTATATACAGAGCTCAGGGTAAATGTTAATATGTCTGGATGTCACTGAAGGTCAGATGTGAAATTTTCCACATGGTCTCATGTCAGTACTCAAAAAAGTTTCAGGTATTTGGAGCATTTTGAGTTTTAGATTTTCAGATTAGAGATTCACCCTATATTCCCTTTTCAGGAGAAGCTGAAAATGAGATGCAGTTTTTAAAAATGCACCTGTGCATATCTTAATTGTAAAAGTAATCATTAGAGAGCAAACCATTTTGCGAGTGGCAAAATGGCTTGAGGTTATCCTGAATGAACAGCGAGATGGGAAAATGAGCACACTGTGACACATTCACTATAAAAATCCACACAGATAAACCCTTACTTACTTTCTTAAACATAACTAGTGAGATGACCGCTGATGCTGTGAAAAGTGCTGCGATGATTATCATCATGATGCCGACAGGAACATTCTGGTTGAGACCAGTGAGGGATGAAATCCACCCACTGCAAAAGAAGAAAAAGAGTAATCAGGCAAATAACACACATTTTTTAAAACAGCCTTATATCTAACCTGTATTCAGTAGGTATGAGCCAAGGAAAGTTCAGATTCCTTAAATGCACTGAATGTGATTCTCACAACCACCCCAAAGACAGATGCTACTTATTTTGCAGATGAGGAACTGAGTCACACAGATGTACCATGCCCAAAAACACAAAGTCAATAAATGGCATAGTATGAAACCAAAATCAAACCAAACTCCTGGGTCTCAAGTGTTCACCAACAGATTACTGCATTTTTAAGGCTGTGAATTCATTACTACATTTTTAAATGTTCATCGTAAATTTCTATGAATTAAGGGAGAAAATATTTGCAAATCACATATCCAACAAAGGACGAGCTTTTAAAAGATAAAAAGAACTTTTAAGGCTCAACACAAAAAAAAAATCATTTAGAAAACAGGCAAAGACACCATGAGACACTTCAGTCAGAAGTCACTATGATGGCAAGTAAGGCCACGAACAGATGTTCAACAGCATTCATTAGGGAGATGCATGTTCAATCACAATGAGGTATCACTACACACACCCATCAAAGTGGCAAAAATAAAAATAGTGACAACACCAGCTGCTGGCAAGGACATGAAGGCTAAATCACACTTAACTGTTGGAGGGAATATAAAATAGGATAGCTATTCTAGAAAACAGTTTGTCAGTTTCTTAAAAAAAAACAAAAATATAAATAAAAACTTATGTTTAGATGAAAACCTGCTCACAAATGCTCATAGCAGCTTTCTTCGTAAGAGCTGCAAATGTAAGCATACACGTGCACCACAGATTACAATTAAAGAATAAAAAGGAACTACCGATGCACGTAGCAACCCGGGTGACTCTCCAGAGAACTACACTCATTGAAAATAAAAACCAGTGGTTGCATACTGTATGATTCCACTTACATAACCCTCTTAAAATGAGAGTAACTGAAGTGACAAGCAAGGTTACCGAGGGAGTGGCAACAGGAGAGCTGCAAGTGTGGCTATAAAAAAGCAACATGAGGAATCCTCTGGTGATGGAAATGTTCTGTATCTTGGTTTTGAATGTTAAGATTCTTTGTTTTTATATTTCACACTGTTGAGGTAAACTGGGTGAAGAGTACTTGGGATCTCTCTGAACTTGTTTCCTGCATGTACACAAAATATGTGTGTGCAGTGATTCCACCTCTCAAAAACAAGTGTCCATGTATATGAGTTAAAGCTTCAATATAAATGTATATAAACTTACAATTACCTTCAAATACATTAATTAAATTTTAAAATATATGAATTATGTAAGTATTACCTTAAAGCAAGTTATTTCAAATATGCTTTTATTAGTAGACTCTTCTGTGCTGTTATGTTTAATTTTGACATTTTTCCCCCTTAGTCTATACTAAAGAGCAAGAGAAATTACTTCATTTTCTCAAGAATTAAAAAAAAAAAGTGCTGTTCAATAAAGGAAATGCAAATTAAAACCACACTTAAGATTCTACTTCACCCCTGTTAGAATAGCCATCATTAGCAACACCACCAACAGGTGTTGGCGAGGATGCGTGGGTGTAGGGGAGAGGAACCCTCTTACACTGTTGGTGGGACTGTAAACTAGTACAACCACTCTGGAAAAAAATTTGGAGGCCACTTAAAAAGCTAAACATTGTACCATTTGATCCAGTAATACCACTTTTGGGGGTATACCCAAAAGACTGTGACACAGGTTACTCCAGAGGCACCTGCACACCCATGTTTATTGTGGCACTATTCACAATAGTCAAGTTATGGAAACAGCCAAGATGCCCCAGCACTGACAAATGGATTAAGAAAATGTGGTATCTATACACAATGGAATTTTATGCAGCCATGAAGAAGAACAACATGTTATCATTCACTGGTAAATGGATGGAATTGGAGAACATCATTCTGAGTGAGGTTAGCCTGGCCCAAAAGACCAAAAATCGTATGTTCTCCCTCATATGTGGACATTAGATCAAGGGCAAACACAACAAGGGGATTGGACTTTGAGCACATGATAAAAGTGAGATCACACAAGGGAGGGGTGAGGATAGGTAAGACACCTAAAAAATTAGGTAGCATTTGTTACCCTTAACGCAGAGAAACTAAAGCAGATACCTTAAAAGCAACTGAGGCCAATAGGAAAAGGGGACCAGGAACTAGAGAAAAGGTGAGATCAAAAAGAATTAACCTAGAAGGTAACACCCATGCACAGGAAATCAATGTGAGCCAATGCCCTGTATAGCTATCCTTATCTCAACCAGCAAAAACCCTTGTTCCTTCCTATTATTGCTTATACTCTCTCTACAACAAAATTAGAAATAAGGGCAAAATAGTTTCTGCTGGGTATTGAGGGGGGGGAGAGGGAGGGGGCGGAGTGGGTGGTAAGGGAAGGGTGGGGCAGGGGGGAGAAATGAACCAAGCCTTGTGTGCACATACGAATAAAATAAAAAAAAAGTGCTGTTAAATCAATGTATTTTTTTAAATGTTTAAAGCATTAGTTACCTTTTCCTCAAATCCCAGAGACTAGTCACTATTTAAAATAACAATGAAAACCAATTTTTCCCAAGAACTGACTTAAAGTGCCTACGTAAATTCTCTGCAATATATATGCCCATTAGGACCTCTGCCAAACCGCCGAGTTGTCTCACTGCTCGGATTCAGACACAGCATGCTAAACTTAAGACCTGGCACCCTCTACTCACGTGCTCATTTTGATTCTAGTTCATGGGCATAGTGCATAACAAGTGTGTCACACATGCTTTGGGCATACAAAGACGAGAGCGAATGAAGCTCTCTATGAAGAAAGAAGGAAGGGCCAGACAAGTTTAGAGATGTGACTCTTCCCACCCACCACTTCCCTCAAGGAATGCTTCCTCCAAAGAGTAGGGAGAAACAATGGGCCCTGGCCCAGAACATCTGTTTCTGAGGGACCCCAGTGAGTGAGCATCCTGTCGCCCTGAGAATGACTCCACTGTCTCAAGATATGTCTAAAGATATTATATTACACACACACACGTGTGTACTCTACCTCTAAAAGACAAGTGTCCATGCACATATGTATATAAATACATGCATTTGTGTACTTAAAATAATGCTTTGTACATATGAATACCCTTCTCCTTCAAATTCTTGGAGTTCTTTTCTTTCCCTCCCACAATCTTTGGTTGAGAGGCCCATCTCTCTGGCCTCTTCTTGAGTCTCCTCTGCATCCTTCCTTTTAGTGCCCACTGCATGCACATTTTATTTAAACTAGATATGATGCACTATTTTAAAAAATGGAAATTAATCTTTAAAGAGAATGATATATTCAAAGGTAATGTCTTAGGACATTTTGAAACATTGGCGTTTTTGGTTTTTGTTGTTACCATTTTTGCTTTTTGTTGTTTTGTTTTTTGCTTCTGCTAATTTGATGTGTTTTTCCTTTTTTTGTACTTTTCTGTACAGTGTTAACTGCATTAGGGAACCAAAATTTTTACACAAATATTAACAGCTTAAAGCAAAGTAAATAAACTTACCAGTTGCCCCAATTATGAAATCCTGCAGCCTGGAGCACATGTACAGCAAACTGACAAATATAGACGAAGAAGAATACAAAGAATCTGAATGAACTGTCACTCCTTCAAAAAAAAAAAAAACAGAGAGAAAAAAGAAAAATGGGGCCAAAGGAAAGACAAAAGGGGGAAAAAGTCATTTTCTCATTACCTTTACATTTACATGCAGGTGACATTCAAACCTTAAAACAAAACTGTGGCTTTAATTCAAACAGAAAAAGCATAAAATAATTTATGTGACCCTCTAGTGCAAATATTCAGTATTATTCCAATTTCACTTTGTCCTTTCAATTTCCAACTGTACCACAATCTACCTTGACAAAAATTTAGTTTTTTTATTAGATAATTTTGTAGAATTACATAATTAATAAACCACAAATATTTAAAATGCAGAATTTGATACAGTATGGATTGAGTTTTTTAAAACATGGATATCCAATTGTTCTATCATCATTCAAGAGATTTTTCTGCACCTCATTGCTTTGTAGCTTTCTCAAATCAGGAGTTTCAGTATAGATGGGTTTCTTTTTATTTCGGAACCACTGGTCTAATTTTCTACATTTTATGTTAACATGTACTATTTTGATTACTGGGGCTTTCTAATAAGTCTTCAAGTTAGGTATTATTAATCTATTAACCTCACTCTTTTGCAAAGTTGTTTTGGCTGTCCTAAGGCTTTCTGTATGCCTTTAGAAACACTCTGTCTTATTTCTAGAAAACAGACTACTGGAATTTTGATTGGAATTGTACTACAAACCTATAGAATCATTTTAAGAGAGCTAATATCACAATAACATCAAGTCTTCTAACTCACTAGAAGGTATATCTTTCCATTTATATTTTCTGTAGGGATTACCAGGAATCTAAGAATAAAGACAGTTTCACTTCTTCCTTTCTAATCTGGATGCCTTTTATTTCTTTTCTTGTCTGGTTTGGCCAGGGCTTTCAACACAACTCTGAATAGAAGTGGCAAGGATGCATGTCCTTATCTCAATACTGGCAAAAAACTCTCCTTTCACCACTGAGTATGGTTTTAAGTACAAGCTACAGTTTTTATAGATGTTTTTTATAGGATGAAGAAGTCCCCCTTCTATTCCAAATTTATTCAGTGTCTGAAAGGATGTTGGATTCCATTAAGTGGTTTTACATGAATTAAAATGATCATTTTTTAAAATGTTTGGTTGTAATATGGTGAATTATCACTAATTAATTTTCTAATGTAAAAACCAATCTTGTAAGCCAGGTGTGGTAGCACCCCCTTATAATCCCAAAACTGGAGGTTGGCAGGTTCGAGGCTAACCTGGGCTACATGATAAAACCCTGTCTCAAACAAACACCCAACCTTAGATTCCTGGAAAAAGTTCCGCCCACTTGACCATGACAAAGTATCAAGTCTGGCAACACTTTTAATTGCTCTAAATTTACCCCATTTTCTGTTCCGCACACTGAAGAGTCAAGGCTGTAACAGTCCCATCTCTGCATAAAGTTCTTCATCAAAGAGGAAAACAGAAGCCACAGGAATAAACCCCTACCACTCTCTCCCCATGCCTTCCCTCCTTCTCAGCTACATCAACTTCCTCCTGACCTCTGTGAAGAGGCAGTCAGTATCGCTCTCTGCCCCAATTTTACTGTTATTTCCGTCACTTATCTGACTATACTGTTTCTCAGGTTCCTATTTCTAGACCCACCTCCTCTACGTTAAATTACAAAACTATTTTTATAGGGAAGTGCCTAAAGGGATTCTTTTATTTTCTAATGTTTGAGAATCATCCACCATTTAATAAGTCCAAATAATGTGACACAGCATATACATCTCACAAAACACACCTGAGCCTCCACTTCAGCTGCTCCCTCAGTGCCTTTAATACCTGACAGTTTTCTTTCTGACTGGCAAATCTTTTGAGATTAGTCCCTAACTCCACTGAAGCAATACAATCATCGTATTATTGTAGTGAGGTCCCTCAAGATGCTTGAAGGAATGGACAGATAAAGCTGAGGAGCTCTGTCAGGAGGAGGGCTGGACCTGAGTCAGGATCACAAAAGGACCAGGAGAAGAAAATCACTAGGGGTAGAAGGGTTTCTGTTGGCACCAATTACCCAAGGTAGTCAGTCCTTGTGCAGGAGGAGGCCAGGAAGCACCTTATACTGAGCCTTTCTATGTTTTTGTCACTGCTGGGGACCAAACCCGGGGCCTTGCATATTCTAAGCAAGTGTTCTACCCCTGAGCTACATCCTCAATCTGACTCAGCCATTTTAAACCAAAGAAAAGAGAACAAAAATACAGTTAGAAAAACAGTATGAGTTATTTAAACTTAGTGGTTTATAATCTGCCTCAGATTGTAACTAAGTATCTATGGTATGGTGAATATTTATGCATAGTAAATCTACCAAAGCATTCTATTTCCTGGTCAGAATAAACAAAATAAACAAAAGCTTCTTACTGCTTGCCTTCCTGGCTCGTCCAGATCACAGCCTATTAGAAAACTGAACTTCGAATAAGGCAGGGGTTTTTGGTCTAATGTCTTCTGCTGCCAACTGGCAGCATAGTTTTAATAGAAAAGTTCATTCATATTTTATCATAATAAATCTCAGAAAATAGATTTATATGCTCTCACAAAGTTTATTTCACATATCAAATCAATAACACAGATACCAGTATAACTACAGCTTGGGGGGCCAGGGAGATACCTCGGTGGGAGCATTTCATTTTACAAGAACTAGCAAAATTTACATTTAATCATCGTAAGGTAGCACAAGTAAAATACTAATGGCATTACCTTTAGCAATCGGTATAGTGGTTAAGGGCACGAAGCTTTAGTGATGGAGGGTGTGGGAAAAATACTAAACCTGAGTTTCCATTTGCGAAATGGGACAACAGTAGAACCTACTTTTGTATGCATAGAATAAGACACATAAAGACACACAAGCACATAGTAATAATTGTTACTTGTTGGTACCTCTAATTACACTAATATGATATTGGACCAAAACAAACTGTTTTGCTCACAGAAGTAATATTCTGCTCTCAAAAGTGACATTTGACCACTGATAAGATCTTAAAAATTTCTGGAACATGGATGATAATCACTACTACTACAATCAAGTAATATATAAAATTCTTGATGATGTAAAGGCACTAGAATAAAAAGAAACCTAAGTGCAGCTCCACAGTTACTTAGAAAATCCAAAACTATCTACACCAGCCCCATGTCCCTCTAATAACTTTGTGCTGACAGGAATTTTCTCCAGAACAGGGATTTCATAGACGAACCTCCCTTGCAGTATTGGGGGGGTCAAACCCAGGGCCTAATGCATGCTAGGCACAAAGTACTTTTGTAGAATAAACTGAAACATAGACTTATCACTCATATCAGTTCTCCTTGAATTTTTTACTAAAAGTGCTCAGTAGTAAGAGTACTTGCCTAGCACATACCACAAAAAAAAGAGGGTTATAATTTTATATATCAATGGGAAATAATCCTAAAATCATCTATATTTATTGCCAGAGTACAGATACATATGTATACTAGCAAAATATATTTTATTTTAATATAAATGTCACTTACATTAACATATATATAACCATGTGTTTCATCCTGCTGTATTCTACCCCTAAACTACTCTTAGTTACACCATGCATGTTTACTATGACTAGAACGATGCTATTCTGTTTTGCATTTCCTTTTATCATCAGCTGTGTGCAAAATGACCACCAGACAGAATATGCACAGAATCTGGAACTGACTCATCAAAAATATTTTTAAATTGATCTCATGTACCTATTATTGTTTTTTATACTTACTGAAAATCTCAAACATTGTACAGTGCCTAGAAGGTTTTTCCTGTGCCCTTCCCTACCTGCAGTGGGTCTTCGGCTGCACCCTGAGGAAGATGAAGCTTGACGCCCCATTTCACTTCTTAGCTGTACCTAAGTCCACTGAAAGGCAGCCATTCAATCTGAATACTAAGTCAAGGAGACAAAAAGGTTCGCCATTTGTTTACCTGGAGCAGACACTGAAGGACATACATGTAAGAAGAATTCAGCTGAAGTTTATAATGAGTCACTGAAGGCTGGCTCGAGGAAATACAGAAGAACTCTGGGGAGCCAGACACACATGAGCAGGTTCTTCTCCACAGACCTCAGCTGCTGAGAAGAATGGCTGCAGGCAGCCTTGTCTGGGGTACAGGTGTGGAAAAACCTTCCATAGGAGAAGTGAAATGGGGCATCGAATTTCATCTTCCTCAGGGCACAGCTCAAGACCCACTGCAGGTAGGAAAGGGCACAGAAAAAACCCTCTAGGCCTGAGGAGAGGCAGGAATAGATGCTGTAAGTTGCCACTACTAAAACTTATACAAGAAGGAATGGCAGAATCACTGAGAAGAGTAGATGACCTCATTCCAGAGACACAGGCTGCCTATGCTGCGGCCAAACCAGAGCAAGAATATCTCTCTCACCAACATCCACCCTCCAGGCTAGCGCACCTGAAGTAACAAGCAGCAAAGGAACGGGGCACTTGGGAGAGGCACCATGGGGAAGCCTGACACTAATGGAGCTAGCATTGAAGAAAAGCCCTGGAAAATCAGGCCTTGCCCATGTGGGGGCCAACCTAACCAAGGCACACATGGAAATGCCTCAAAGAATCCCCCCTGTATAACTAGTATATGCTAATACAAAATGTCTTTTTAGAAAAATAATAACAAAAAGGAATATGAAGTCTATGGAGTATGGAGAGCAATCATGGCAGCCAAAATTGAAACCCAGTAATTCCTGACTTGACTACCTGAAACCCTCCTTCCCACCCTCAACCCACCAAAGCCTGGCACAACATCTTCAGGAGATGTCCAGCTTTTAGTAAGAAATTATGAGGCATAAGAAAGATCAAAAGAAAAAATACTATCACGAGATAAAGCAATCTAGAAAACCAGACTCACCACTCAGATGCCACCAGCGTCAGACAAGAATTTTACATAACTACAATAGTATGTTTGAAGTGCTAGTCAAGAGGTGAACAACACACATGACAAGAGGGGGGTCTCAGCACACACACACAAGCTACAGGAAATAA